AATGGCTGAGAATACAGCTCAGTGCGAAGGTACTGGGTTCCAGCCTCAGCAGAAAAACAAGGTACAAATGTTTTTCCACTTAGTGCAGCTCAATCCAAGGTGCCCTTGCTCCTCCCATTCACCTGCTTCAGCATAGTGAAGAATTCAGATGACAGACAAGGCAGCCCCTGCTGAGCTCTGAAGGGATGGCTTTCATGGAAAGAAAAATATGAACTTTTACATAACACATGAAACAATAAAGCTAGGTTTTCTGGTGGACAATTGCAATCCCTGCACTGGAGTCACTGAGGCAGGAAGAACACACTGGGTTCCCGGCCTGCATGAGTGACAATGTGAGTTCAAGATCAGCCTGAATTGCCTAGTGAGAGCCTGTCTCAACAAAATGGTATAACATGACATAACCAAATGCAAGATAAAACAGCTGAAGGCAAATGTGGACATTTAGAATCAAAGCAAAATCTATCTCTGGCTTTGTAGTTGCAACAATACCTCCAATGATAGTGAGGCTGAGGCAGACGAATCTGGAGTTCAAGGTCAGCCTGGGCTACATACAGAGGTGAAATCCAAGGAGAACACTGCAAGACCTCAGGTCCTAGAAAATACAACACTTCCAGTATCCCAAATCCCTCTATCTGAAGAGACAGAAGTCACAGAATCCATGGGGCCATCTGCGACTTCTGTGCCCACAGGACGCTGGCTGAAGGTGGGGAGGAGGGACCTCCTCACGGAGGCCAGGGACTCACCAGGTACAGACTCAGGTGACAGCGACGGGGCTCCGGGAATCCAGGCAGGACCAGCGGTGACTGAGAGCTGCGGGACTGAGCATCTCCTCCTCTGCCCCTCTCCTCTTTTATCCCCCGTGTTAGCCACACCCTACCCTCCCTGTTCCTCCCTTTCCAGCAAACTCAGATCCCTGATTAGTTCACTCCCTCTCCACCCAGTTAATCCTGGTGCGCTCAGGGCTTTCTCCATGCTCGTGGGTTCTCGCAGACCTGGAGGTGGGAATGGAAGAATTCAGGGTAGAAT